AAAGTGCATGCGCAGAGAGGTCTCCATGCGGTCCAGCTGCCACACGGCCTGATGGGTGGTGGATGGGTGGGTGGGTGTATTGGGGGGTGGAATGGTGGTGATTAAAGTGCATGCGCAGCGAGGTCTCCATGCGGTCCAGCTGCCACACGGCCTGATGGGTGGTGGATGGGTGGGTGGGTGTATTGGGGGGTGGAATGGTGGTGATTAAAGTGCATGCGCAGAGAGGTCTCCATGCGGTCCAGCTGCCACACGGCCTGATGGGTGGTGGATGGGTGGGTGGGTGTATTGGGGGGTGGAATGGTGGTGATTAAAGTGCATGCGCAGCGAGGTCTCCATGCGGTCCAGCTGCCACACGGCCTGATGGGTGGTGGATGGGTGGGTGGGTGTATTGGGGGGTGGAATGGTGGTGATTAAAGTGCATGCGCAGCGAGGTCTCCATGCGGTCCAGCTGCCACACGGCCTGATGGGTGGTGGATGGGTGGGTGGGTGTATTGGGGGGTGGAATGGTGGTGATTAAAGTGCATGCGCAGCGAGGTCTCCATGCGGTCCAGCTGCCACACGGCCTGATGGGTGGTGGATGGGTGGGTGGGTGTATTGGGGGGTGGAATGGTGGTGATTAAAGTGCATGCGCAGAGAGGTCTCCATGCGGTCCAGCTGCCACACGGCCTGATGGGTGGTGGATGGGTGGGTGGGTGTATTGGGGGGTGGAATGGTGGTGATTAAAGTGCATGCGCAGCGAGGTCTCCATGCGGTCCAGCTGCCACACGGCCTGATGGGTGGTGGATGGGTGGGTGGGTGTATTGGGGGGTGGAATGGTGGTGATTAAAGTGCATGCGCAGAGAGGTCTCCATGCGGTCCAGCTGCCACACGGCCTGATGGGTGGTGGATGGGTGGGTGGGTGTATTGGGGGGTGGAATGGTGGTGATTAAAGTGCATGCGCAGCGAGGTCTCCATGCGGTCCAGCTGCCACACGGCCTGATGGGTGGTGGATGGGTGGGTGGGTGTATTGGGGGGTGGAATGGTGGTGATTAAAGTGCATGCGCAGCGAGGTCTCCATGCGGTCCAGCTGCCACACGGCCTGATGGGTGGTGGATGGGTGGGTGGGTGTATTGGGGGGTGGAATGGTGGTGATTAAAGTGCATGCGCAGCGAGGTCTCCATGCGGTCCAGCTGCCACACGGCCTGATGGGTGGTGGATGGGTGGGTGGGTGTATTGGGGGGTGGAATGGTGGTGATTAAAGTGCATGCGCAGCGAGGTCTCCATGCGGTCCAGCTGCCACACGGCCTGATGGGTGGTGGATGGGTGGGTGGGTGTATTGGGGGGTGGAATGGTGGTGATTAAAGTGCATGCGCAGCGAGGTCTCCATGCGGTCCAGCTGCCACACGGCCTGATGGGTGGTGGATGGGTGGGTGGGTGTATTGGGGGGTGGAATGGTGGTGATTAAAGTGCATGCGCAGCGAGGTCTCCATGCGGTCCAGCTGCCACACGGCCTGATGGGTGGTGGATGGGTGGGTGGGTGTATTGGGGGGTGGAATGGTGGTGATTAAAGTGCATGCGCAGCGAGGTCTCCATGCGGTCCAGCTGCCACACGGCCTGATGGGTGGTGGATGGGTGGGTGGGTGTATTGGGGGGTGGAATGGTGGTGATTAAAGTGCATGCGCAGAGAGGTCTCCATGCGGTCCAGCTGCCACACGGCCTGATGGGTGGTGGATGGGTGGGTGGGTGTATTGGGGGGTGGAATGGTGGTGATTAAAGTGCATGCGCAGCGAGGTCTCCATGCGGTCCAGCTGCCACACGGCCTGATGGGTGGTGGATGGGTGGGTGGGTGTATTGGGGGGTGGAATGGTGGTGATTAAAGTGCATGCGCAGCGAGGTCTCCATGCGGTCCAGCTGCCACACGGCCTGATGGGTGGTGGATGGGTGGGTGGGTGTATTGGGGGGTGGAATGGTGGTGATTAAAGTGCATGCGCAGAGAGGTCTCCATGCGGTCCAGCTGCCACACGGCCTGATGGGTGGTGGATGGGTGGGTGGGTGTATTGGGGGGTGGAATGGTGGTGATTAAAGTGCATGCGCAGCGAGGTCTCCATGCGGTCCAGCTGCCACACGGCCTGATGGGTGGTGGATGGGTGGGTGGGTGTATTGGGGGGTGGAATGGTGGTGATTAAAGTGCATGCGCAGAGAGGTCTCCATGCGGTCCAGCTGCCACACGGCCTGATGGGTGGTGGATGGGTGGGTGGGTGTATTGGGGGGTGGAATGGTGGTGATTAAAGTGCATGCGCAGCGAGGTCTCCATGCGGTCCAGCTGCCACACGGCCTGATGGGTGGTGGATGGGTGGGTGGGTGTATTGGGGGGTGGAATGGTGGTGATTAAAGTGCATGCGCAGAGAGGTCTCCATGCGGTCCAGCTGCCACACGGCCTGATGGGTGGTGGATGGGTGGGTGGGTGTATTGGGGGGTGGAATGGTGGTGATTAAAGTGCATGCGCAGAGAGGTCTCCATGCGGTCCAGCTGCCACACGGCCTGATGGGTGGTGGATGGGTGGGTGGGTGTATTGGGGGGTGGAATGGTGGTGATTAAAGTGCATGCGCAGCGAGGTCTCCATGCGGTCCAGCTGCCACACGGCCTGATGGGTGGTGGATGGGTGGGTGGGTGTATTGGGGGGTGGAATGGTGGTGATTAAAGTGCATGCGCAGCGAGGTCTCCATGCGGTCCAGCTGCCACACGGCCTGATGGGTGGTGGATGGGTGGGTGGGTGTATTGGGGGGTGGAATGGTGGTGATTAAAGTGCATGCGCAGCGAGGTCTCCATGCGGTCCAGCTGCCACACGGCCTGATGGGTGGTGGATGGGTGGGTGGGTGTATTGGGGGGTGGAATGGTGGTGATTAAAGTGCATGCGCAGAGAGGTCTCCATGCGGTCCAGCTGCCACACGGCCTGATGGGTGGTGGATGGGTGGGTGGGTGTATTGGGGGGTGGAATGGTGGTGATTAAAGTGCATGCGCAGCGAGGTCTCCATGCGGTCCAGCTGCCACACGGCCTGATGGGTGGTGGATGGGTGGGTGGGTGTATTGGGGGGTGGAATGGTGGTGATTAAAGTGCATGCGCAGCGAGGTCTCCATGCGGTCCAGCTGCCACACGGCCTGATGGGTGGTGGATGGGTGGGTGGGTGTATTGGGGGGTGGAATGGTGGTGATTAAAGTGCATGCGCAGAGAGGTCTCCATGCGGTCCAGCTGCCACACGGCCTGATGGGTGGTGGATGGGTGGGTGGGTGTATTGGGGGGTGGAATGGTGGTGATTAAAGTGCATGCGCAGAGAGGTCTCCATGCGGTCCAGCTGCCACACGGCCTGATGGGTGGTGGATGGGTGGGTGGGTGTATTGGGGGGTGGAATGGTGGTGATTAAAGTGCATGCGCAGAGAGGTCTCCATGCGGTCCAGCTGCCACACGGCCTGATGGGTGGTGGATGGGTGGGTGGGTGTATTGGGGGGTGGAATGGTGGTGATTAAAGTGCATGCGCAGAGAGGTCTCCATGCGGTCCAGCTGCCACACGGCCTGATGGGTGGTGGATGGGTGGGTGGGTGTATTGGGGGGTGGAATGGTGGTGATTAAAGTGCATGCGCAGAGAGGTCTCCATGCGGTCCAGCTGCCACACGGCCTGATGGGTGGTGGATGGGTGGGTGGGTGTATTGGGGGGTGGAATGGTGGTGATTAAAGTGCATGCGCAGAGAGGTCTCCATGCGGTCCAGCTGCCACACGGCCTGATGGGTGGTGGATGGGTGGGTGGGTGTATTGGGGGGTGGAATGGTGGTGATTAAAGTGCATGCGCAGAGAGGTCTCCATGCGGTCCAGCTGCCACACGGCCTGATGGGTGGTGGATGGGTGGGTGGGTGTATTGGGGGGTGGAATGGTGGTGATTAAAGTGCATGCGCAGAGAGGTCTCCATGCGGTCCAGCTGCCACACGGCCTGATGGGTGGTGGATGGGTGGGTGGGTGTATTGGGGGGTGGAATGGTGGTGATTAAAGTGCATGCGCAGAGAGGTCTCCATGCGGTCCAGCTGCCACACGGCCTGATGGGTGGTGGATGGGTGGGTGGGTGTATTGGGGGGTGGAATGGTGGTGATTAAAGTGCATGCGCAGAGAGGTCTCCATGCGGTCCAGCTGCCACACGGCCTGATGGGTGGTGGATGGGTGGGTGGGTGTATTGGGGGGTGGAATGGTGGTGATTAAAGTGCATGCGCAGAGAGGTCTCCATGCGGTCCAGCTGCCACACGGCCTGATGGGTGGTGGATGGGTGGGTGGGTGTATTGGGGGGTGGAATGGTGGTGATTAAAGTGCATGCGCAGAGAGGTCTCCATGCGGTCCAGCTGCCACACGGCCTGATGGGTGGTGGATGGGTGGGTGGGTGTATTGGGGGGTGGAATGGTGGTGATTAAAGTGCATGCGCAGAGAGGTCTCCATGCGGTCCAGCTGCCACACGGCCTGATGGGTGGTGGATGGGTGGGTGGGTGTATTGGGGGGTGGAATGGTGGTGATTAAAGTGCATGCGCAGAGAGGTCTCCATGCGGTCCAGCTGCCACACGGCCTGATGGGTGGTGGATGGGTGGGTGGGTGTATTGGGGGGTGGAATGGTGGTGATTAAAGTGCATGCGCAGAGAGGTCTCCATGCGGTCCAGCTGCCACACGGCCTGATGGGTGGTGGATGGGTGGGTGGGTGTATTGGGGGGTGGAATGGTGGTGATTAAAGTGCATGCGCAGAGAGGTCTCCATGCGGTCCAGCTGCCACACCTCCTGGTGGAGGAATTGGGGGTTTATGGTACGGTACGGTAGTGTACAGGGGGGATGTTGGGAGGCAAGGGACAGCTGCCACTCCCCTTCAGCCGTCACCTCACTCACAGTGTTTTGAGGCGCAAACAAGCCCGGAAACTCAAAACAGTCGCACAAGCACAAGAGCCCTTTCAAATGCTCCACGACTTGATGATAAAACTTGGAAGAACAAAAACACTCACTGGTGATTGGCGGAATTCCTCATGGCTTGCCCGAGCGCCACACAGCCGCCCAGACTTGAGCAGCTGGCGAATGAGAGAGCGCCACATGCACGCTCCTGCCGCCCGAGCCTTGACAATGGGTGAGTGAAGCTTTGCTTCTTGCAGGGTCTGGAGAGGGGGGTGGGTGAAGAATGGGGGAAAGGAGGGTGGGAAGATGGGAAGGATGGGGAAACGGTCGGAGGACTGAAAGTTTATAGTGCATGAGTTTTCATCCCAGGAGAAGGCAAGAAACAGAGCAGCAGAAAGAGAGGCTGTGACCCAGGGAGGCTGTGACCCAGGGAGGCTGTGACCCAGGGAGGCTGTGACCCAGGGAGGCTGTGACCCAGGGAGGCTGTGACCCAGGGAGGCTGTGACTCAGGGAGGCTGTGAGTCTGTGACCCAGGGAGGCTGTGACTCAGGTGTGACTCAGGGAGGTAAGCTGTGACCCAGAGGGAGGTAAACGCTGGTGTAGATGACAGTTGAGGGAGGCTGACCTGTGAGTCGAGCAGGTCGTGCAGAGAGGAGAGGTAGAGCTGCAGTCCTCCTACTCTGGGTCCCAGAGAGATGCTATACCGCATCTCCACCTCATCCCCTCCCACTCCCTGTTGTTGCTCGCACCTCATTCTCTGCTGGGGGAGGCTGACTGACCTGTGAGTCGAGGAGGTCGAGCAGAGACGAGAGGTAGAGCTGCAGCCCCCCCACTCTGGGTCCCAGAGAGATGTTGTACCGCATCTCCACCTCATCCCACTCCTTGATACTGCTCACACCGCTGCCGCTGCTGCTGCTGCTGCTGCTGCTGCTGTTGCTGCTGCTGCCCTTGGCAAGAGAGGAGTGCAGGAGACTAGAGAGCTTGAGAGCAGGGTGTTTGAGACCAATCACATCTACCCACGCGCCTTCCAGCGAATCCCACAGGCTCCACCGCCCAGACCTCAGAATGTCCCCCTTCTCCCGCCGCTTCGCTGACGTGGCGGCCTCGGGAACTCCGTCCACTCCCGGCCTGCCATCTGTCAGCCCGTACAGCCGATCCATGTGCCCCAGCTTCCTCTCTTGCCCCATCCTTCCAGCAGCAGCACCAGCACCGAAAAATGCACCACCCACACCGCCACCACCGCCGATGCTGCTCCTGCTGCTGCTGTTCCAGCTCCTACCCGAGCCATGAGCAGCCGCAGGGCCTGTGGCAGCAGCAGTGGCGGCCAGGCAGACAGCAGCAGGCGGCGAGGCAAACGCAGCGACCCACACCGGAGAGAGAAACGCAAGAGCAGCCTCGGTAGGGCTGGCGTCGGTGGCAAGTGCCGGGGTGTTGGGGTCTGAGAAGGGGGAAGCGCCTGTGTGGTCTGAGAGGAGGCGGAGGCAGCGCAGGGATGGGCGCCACTTGCGGAGGAGGGCGGTGAAGGGCGGGAGGAGGAGGGAGAGGAAGGTGGGGCGCAGGATGGTGCGATCGCGATCGATAGAGTGGATGATCTGGGGGAGGGTGGGAGGGGAAAGAGGAGAAAGCAAGTTTAGGGTGAAAAGGGATTTGCCCATCCCATGTTCATTGAAAAGGGGTTGTTCGGGTGTGAGAGGGGGGAGGCGCCCGTGTGGTCTGAGAGGAGGCGGAGGCAGCGCAGGGATGGGCGCCACTTGCGGAGGAGGGCGGTGAAGGGGGGGAGGAGGAGGGAGAGGAAGGTGGGGCGCAGGATGGTGCGATCTCGATCGATTGAATGGATGATCTGGCAGGGTGTGTGGTGTGGAAGGGTGTGGTGTGGGGGGGGGGGGTGGAGAGGGGATAACACATTCAAAGGTGAGAAGAGGAAGGTGGGGCGCAGGATGGTACGATCTCGATCGATTGAGTGGATGATCTGGCGAGGTGTGGGGGGGAGGGGGGGGAAGGGGAGAGGGGATAGGGATAACACATTCAGAGATGATCTGGCAGAGGGCTGGGCGCCACTTGCGGAGGATGGCTTTGAAGCGGGGGAGGAGGAGGGCAAGGAAGGTGGGGCGCAGGATGGTGCGATCTCGATCGATTGAATGGATGATCTGGGGAAGGGTGGGAGGGGAAAGAGGAGAAAGCATGTTTTGGGGTGAGGAAGGGTGAAAAGGGAATTGCCCATGCTTATTGAAAAGGGGGTGTTGGGGTGTGAGAAAGGGGAAGCGCCTGTGTGGTCTGAGAGGAGGCGGAGGCAGCGGAGGGACGGGCGCCACTTGCGGAGAAGGGCGGTGAAGGGGGGGAGGAGGAGGGAGAGGAAGGTGGGGCGCAGGATAGTGCGGTCTCGATCGATTGAATGGATGATCTGGCGAGGTGTGGGGGGAGGGGAGGGGGAGAGGGGATAGGGATAACACATTCAGAGATGATCTGGCGTAGGGACGGGCGCCACTTGCGGAGGAGGGCGGTGAAGGGCGGGAGGAGGAGGGAGAGACAGGTGGGGCGCAGTATGGTGCGATCTCGATCGATTGAATGGATGATCTGGCAGAGGGTGGGGGGGAGGGGAACGAGTTACGGCCCATACCTCTGTGGTCGTCACATACCTCGGTGTGCAGAATGGCAGCAACAGAGAGAGCGCAGTTCTGGCGCTGGTCGAGGCGAGAGGTGGTGAGGAGGGGCGCGAGAATTCTGCCATGGGTTGGGGGGTCGTGACCACAGAGAGATGAACAGTGTTTGATGTTGCACGGACGGACGAATGGATGGACGGATAGTGAGCATTGGGTGTGACAGTAGAGACAAGCAGACAGAAACTAATATCAAGTCAAAATTGATTTATAGAATGGATGATAAACGAAAGTCATGAAGCTCTTATACAGTATGAACTCACCTCCACAGCAAGGAGCTCAGAACCTTCTCTGTAACTTCCTCCCCCTCCTGAACTCCTTTCCTAATCAGCTCTCCACCCATCTCCCCCCCATCCGTCTCCCTAGCCGCCACCAACACCACCCTCAATATAGTCACAAGCGATTGATCATCATCCAATATCCCTTTAAGAGCCTCGCTCATTCCTGCCCCCACCCCTCCCAGCACAGCCAAAACGCCAGACTCCGCTGCTCCCACCCCCTCCTTCTCTAGAAGCATACCCTTCAATATAGTCACACCCTTTAGCACTAGGCGTAGGTCTACCCATCCCCCTGCCTCATCCTCCTCCTCATCCTCCACTATAGGTTCAGCAAGCTCTAATAACACTCGCTCTAAAGCAGACACCTCTGCTCTGCTCCCCTCCTCACTACCACCCGCCTCCCCTCCCTTCCCCCCCTTCCCTCCTCCCTCACCCCCCCACCCCACTGCCTCCTCCCCTTCCTCCCCCACACCCTCTCCAAACCACAGCCGGGACCGGCGGCGCCAGCTGTCGGGCAGGGATTGGACAATAGATCCGTAGCTAGCTAAGGCAGATTGGACGGCTTTGAACCGCCTTGGTTTGTGCTTCTTGCGGTTCCTCTCTATTGCTGACCCGAGGCCTGATGGCGATGCATGTGTCTGTAGCCGCCGCTCCTGCCGCTCTTGTTGGGGGCTGTCTAGGGAAATAAGGGAGGCTGATCCTGGTGGGGATGACAGGGGGGCTAGAGGAGGCGAGACGGTGGGGTGCAGGGGTAGATTGGAGGGAGAGAAGGAGCCGGTGAGCAGATCAAAATGCATCCCAGCTGCTGCTGCTGCCGGCACTGCTGCGGGTGCTGATAATGATTCGTGCACGGCTGCTCCTGCCGCTGGGCTGGAAGTGGGTGCTGCTGCGGAGGTGGTGACAGTGACAGTGACAGCAGTGGAAGGGAGGGTTTCTGCGCTGAGATCGATGAGAGGGAACTCGGCCACCCACCCGAAACCATTAGAGGCAGAATCTGCAGCAGCTGTAGCAGGCGAATCGGCTATAGCAGCTGTAGCATCTGCAGTGGGAGGGTCTGTCTGGCTGGTAGATTCAGGGTCCAAGGAAGGAAACTCAGCCGTCCATGCAGGAGTAGCAGCAGCAGTTGCTTCAATGCCTCCTGTACCTTCTGTAGTTGCCCCTTCTGCTGCTGCTGTTGCTTCTGCTGATATTCCTGCTGTCGTTGCTCCAGCAGCAGTAGCAGTATCGGCAGAAGCGGCACCACCAACACCAGCAGCAGCGGCAGCAGCAGCAGTCAAAGCAGCATCAGCCGGATCAGCCCAAGCAGCAGGCCTATGCTTCCTCTGCCCCTCCCCATCCTCCTCCTCCTCTGCCACCACTGTCCACCGCACTCCATCCCTGTCCACCCTCTGACCCTCCACCAGGCCATCCCCACTCTCCTCCTCCCCTTCCTCTTCCTCCTCGCCCTCCCCCACGCTAATCTTCTTCTCAGCCTGCATGCGTAGAAACTCTTCCAGCAGCATCAGCAGTGCCACTGCGTTTTCTAACAGGCAGGTGGCAGCAGCAGCAGCAGCAGCAGTTGGGGCAGCAGCAGTTGGGGCAGCAGCAGCAGCAGCAGTAGCAGCAGCAGCAGCAGCAGCAGCAGCAGCAGCAGCAGCAGCAGCAGGAGAGGCAGTGGTAGGCAAGGCGGCAGTAGCAGGGGTGGTGGAAGAGCGTGGAGAGAGCATGTCTAGGGCAGAGGAAGAGGGCGGAGGGGAGGAGAGAGAGTGGGGTTGAGAGGGGTTTGGAGGAGCAGGAGGGTTTGCGGGGAGGTGCGAGGCGGTGAAGTCCAGAGCTTCGTGTAACAGCCTGCGATGGATGGTTACCATTGCTGCTTGCCTCCTGCATATTTGTGTGTGTGTTGGAGAGATGGAGAGATGGATGCACGGATGGATGGATGGATGGATGGATGGATGGATGGATGGATGGATGGATGGATGGATGGATGGATGGATGGATGGATGGATGGATGGATGGATGGATGGATGGATGGATGGATGGATGGATGGATGGATGGATGGATGGATGGATGGATGGATGGATGGATGGATGGATGGATGGATGGATGGATGGATGGATGGATGGATGGATGGATGGATGGATGGATGGATGGATGGACGGACGGATGGATGGATGGATGGATGGATGGATGGGTGGGTGGATGGATGGATGGATGGATGGATGGATGGATGGATGGAGATGGAATCATGCATGTGTTGAAGGGTTTTTCAATCTCAAACGGTGATGACCATGCTGTGCAAACATGCACTCAAGCCCGTCCTGACAACTGAATGCGCACAAACACACGCACATGCACACATGCACGCACGCACACAGGCTCACGATCGCGAGCGCACAGGCACTCATGCATGCATGCACACTGGCACACGAGCGTGCGCACGCGCACACGCAGATGTGCGCGCGAGCCTGCACACTCTACACGCACCTTTTTAGCTGCTCTCCCACGCTGCTTCCCCCAATGAGTGCCTTCCACAGCAGGCACTGAAAGGAGGCCTCCAGGACCTGAGAAGACAGAGAGGGAGAGAGATGAGATGAACCATATAACAACCAAGGAATCAGCGTTTCTCACCCTCACCCTGTGCCTCACTCCCCCTCACCTTCCAGCCGTCCCTGTCAAGCAATGCTGAAACGCAATCTCCAAGAAGGCGGCAATGTGCTGCTCATTATTATGCTCTAGAAGCTGACTTTCCCCATGCATCACCCCCCTCACCTTCCACCCCTGCTTGACTGTCAAGCAGTGCTCAAAAACTATTCCCAGGAAGCTGAAGATGAGCTCATTCACATCCTCCTGCACGCTTGTGCTGCTGCGCACTGCACGCGAGTCCCCATCGCTGCCACCTCCAGTGCTCTCCTTCTCATCGACTTGCGTTGCTGTGGGTTGGAGGGAGCCTGTTGCAGGCAAGGCCTGGAGCCATGTGGTGTGGCATTCGGAGCAGCCAGGGGTGGGACAAAGGAAGAAGGAGGCCCGTGCGTGAGAGGCACATGAGAAAGCTAAGGGAGTGGAAAGCCATGTAGGAAACCTACCAGATCATCCATAAGAATGGCTTCAAGAATATACATGCGGCATTTGTCTGGTTTGAGATGTATGGGAGGAGGGGTGGCAACGAGGGAGGGTTTAAGGAGAGGAGCTAAGCTTGGAATTTGTGCAGCAACCAACCATACCCATCGAAAGGAGGGATTTTTGCAGCTACAAGTGAATTTCGTGCAGCAAGGAGTGGAATTCTCCAAAAAGACACTCAGGAAGTTACCATTCACTCCAATTCCTCACCTACTGCTGCGCTGCATTCCCTTACCTCAAGGCTTGAGAGGAGAATCTCGAGCAACCACTCGGGCCACTCAGGGGAGTGGGTCCTGCAGCACTGCAAGCTGAGTGTGTGGCGCGGCAGAGGGCAGCGCACGGAGGAGGGAGGAGGGGCCACACTCACAAACCTACCTATCCCTTACCTCAAGGTTTGAGAGGAGGATCTCGAGCAGCCACTCGGGCCACTCAGGGGAGTGGCAGCGCACGCAGGAGGAAGGAGGTCCTACCTATCCCTTACCTCGAGGTTTGCTAGCAGGATCTCGAGCAGCCACTCGGGCCACTCAGGGGAGTGGCAGCGCACGCAGGAGGAAGGAGGTCCTACCTATCCCTTACCTCGAGGTTTGCCAGCAGGATCTCGAGCAGCCACTCGGGCCACTCAGGGGAGTGGCAGCGCACGCAGGAGGAAGGAGGTCCTACCTATCCCTTACCTCGAGGTTTGCCAGCAGGATCTCGAGCAGCCACTCGGGCCACTCAGGGGAGTGGGTGAGGAGGCGTGTGTTGGCGGGGTTGAGGGAGAACAGCAGCAGCAGGTCCTGGAGCACTGCGAGCTGAGTGTGCGGCGCGGCAGAGGGCAGCGCGCGGAGGAGCGCTAGTAGCAGCTGCTGCTCCCAGGGCGCTATGAAGGTGGACGGGGGGAGGAGGGCGGAGGGAGAATCGACGGCCTGCAGAGGGGTTGAGAGGGGCATAAAAGGGAAGAGAAGGTGTGAGTAGAGGTCAGGGCGCGAAGGAGCGCCAGCAGCAGCTGCTGCTCCCAGCGGGCTATGAAGGTGGACGAGGGGAGGAGGGCGGAGGGAGAATCAGAGGGGTTGAGAGAGGGGAGGAAATGGGACGGGAAGAGAATAAGTGAGTGTAGGGTAACGAGCAGAGGAGCGTCAGAAGCAGCAGCTGCTCCCAGGGCGCTATGAAGGTGGACGGGGGGAGGAGGGCGGAGGGAGAAGAGAATCGACGGCCTCCACATGGGAATCGTACAAGGGAAAGGAATTAAAAAAAGCGAGTGAGTTAGGAGGGGCCAGCGGAAGCTAGAACACTCAGGAGTTACAAGCACAGAAGCCGTCCCTTCACCCTGCATCTCACCTTGCATCGCAGCACAGCAGTCATGAGAGCATGGTACACAGCAGGCGTGAACAGCCTCCCAGGCGCCACCTGCAGCGCCCTCTGCACCCCATACACCGCCCACGCACCCACATTACTGCGGTCCTTCCCTGCCCTCTCCGTCACCACCGCTCCCAACCCCTGTGTTGTTGGCACCACTCCCAGAACCGATGGGTCGGATAGACGCAGGAAGCCAGAGTCCGCTAGCAGCCCTAGGATTGAAATTACCGCGACCATGATCGCATCCGGACCGTCCGTCAGCGGGAAGCCCTGGTCGCTGTCGAAGTAAAAATCCGCAGCATCAGCTGTAGTACCAGCTGTAGCAGCATCAGCAGCGGCGGCTGTAGCAGCATCAGCAGCGGCTGTAGCGGTACCTTCAGCAGCAGCCACGGCAGTGCCCTCAACCATCCAGCCAGACAGCCAAAAAGCATCTGCAGCAGTGGCAGCAGAAGCAGTAACCCCAGCAGCAGCAGCAGCAGCTGCAGCAGCAGCGGCAGCAGATCCTCCTGTGGTGGTGGGAGCGCCATGAGAGGATGATGATCTGAATGCAACCCTTCCCTCAGCCCTACCAGCAGAGGCATGACCACTGCCACTCTTAACAACTGTGCCACTGCTACCCGCACTGCTGCTGGCGCCAATACCCCTGCTGCCGCCTCCCCCATCCCTACTTGCAACTTTCGCAACAGCAGCAGCCGCCGCCGCCACAGCAGCAGCACCAGCACCGGCACCGCCGCTCGCATGACTGGAGGCAGATTTCACAAGGGAAGAACCAGACGCAGGGCCGGTCCGGGCCAAGCGGGGCACAGACACACACACCCAGGGAGCAAGCACGGCCATCCCTTCCTTTGTCACCTGCACCGCACTCTCCTCTGCGTCGTCCTCATACACCTGCTTCGCCCTGAGCCGCTGCACCACTGCTGCTACCTCCGCTACTCCCCTCCTCGTGTCCTCCTCCCCATCCTCCTCCTCACCTTCTTCCATACCCCTCTCCTGCTCTTTGCCCGCTCCTGACTGCTCCCCACCTCCTGCATCCTGGGATAGCCCACTAGAGCTTCTCCTGTTTCCTGTTCCTGCTGCCCCTGCTGCTGCTGCTGCTCCTGCTGCTGCCCTTGAGCCTCTCTCCCCGCCCTCTTTGCCTGCTGCTGAGTCCGGTTTCTCTGCCTCAGTTTTCTTATCGTCAATCGAGCCAACCTTCAACCCAAGAGGCTCCAGAAACACGTTCCAAGTGCTCAGATCCCACACGCCTCCCCCCTTTGTCGCCTCTTGCTTCGGCTTACTCTTGCTCTCTTCCTCTTCCTTCTTCTCCTCTTCCTTTTTCTCCTCCTCCTTCCCCTCACTCTCCTTCTCAGAAACATCCTCTTTCTTTTCCCTCTCCTCAGATATACCTTCCCCAGATTCACCCTCCTTCGTCGAATCTTTCCCACAAGCTTTTTCACTGTCCTCACCCTTCTCCTGCTGTCCTTCCCTCTCTCCTTCACCCCTATCCTCACCTTCCTTCCCCCCACTCTCTGCCATCTCCCCTCCCTCGTTCAAATCTTCTCCCTTGCTCTCCTCCCCCACTTGCCCCTCAACCGCCCCTCCCTTCCCATCCTCAAACACCAGAACCTTCCGTGCACCTTCCTCCTCACCCTCACCCTTACCCCCCAACTCTTCCCCCTTGCCCCCTTCCACTCCCCCTCTCCCCTCCCCATCCCCAACTCCAAGGTCTTCGCCGCCCGGAATAGGAATCAGACGCCTTCTGATTGGTCGACTGCCGGATTTGGCCGGGAAACTGACCGGGTAGGTCTCCCCATACTGGGTTTCTCGCAGCAGCAGTGCCAGAAGCATCTCTGCCCCCCCTGATGCGAGGAACTGCACCATGAAGGCTGATGCTCTGCTGCTGTTGGGCTGAGACATGAGGCGGTAGAGCAGCAGCAGCACTCGAGCCACCTGGAAGGGAAGGGAAGGGAGGAGAATAGAAGAGGGCAAGTTTAAAAAGTTGCTGCTGCTGTTGGGTTGGGACAAGAGACAGTAGAGCAGTAGCAGCACTCAGGCCACTTTAGAGCGAAAGGAGGAGAGAAGATGAGTACAAGGCTGTAGTGCTGCTGCTGTTGGGGTGTGAATACATGGGCAAATGGCGAGTCGAGTTTTACTTGACTCGTTTTGACGAGTTTTTTCCCTTTGACGAGTCGAGTCGAGTTTTACTCGTCGAGTTTTTTTGGTCAAAATGCTGACTCGAAACTCGGCCCCAAAGTCGAGTTTTTTGAAAACTCGGATGAGCCTTAAAAAAACTCGTCCGAGTCAAGTAAAACTCGACTCGAAGTTAAACACTACCCTAACCTAAAACCCCAGCCACACGAAAACAGTTGTAGGGTGCCCAGAAAACTGCCACACGCGTCAACACCCACAAACGACCCAGCCAGCCCCACCTCTCCTCCCCCCTTTCACTTTCCAAAAAAGCTACTCACCGCCACGCCAGCTGCACTAGTGTTCACAATTAAGTGGTGGAACACATCCAAAACAGCGAGCCACACCTCCAGCAGCATATTAACCCAGAAACAGACATTTGTACTCCCCCGTGGTGGACCATTTGATGCACGAGTTTTTTAAAACTCGTCTAGGTTAAACAAAACTCGTGAGTGAAAAAAAACTCGCGAGTTATGGGTAACTCGCCTGTCTAGCCGAGTTTTTCACGAGTTTTTTTAAACTCGCGAGTAAAAATCGACTCGTTTTCACGAGCTTTTTTTACCAAAATCAGAACTCGAAACTCGTTATTTTCGAGTACTTCAAACGAGTCTAGTAAAAACTCGACTCGTCTGCCCATGTATATGTGAAGATGAGGAAAAGGTGAGACACGGAGATTCAGCGGTCACTGTGCCATGCATTGGCCCATTCACTACGCATTTGCTATGCGATGCCCATTCAAGTATGTGAGTTTGATCTCTCACCTGGTTGGGCTGAGGGCACTGGAGGGCAAAAGTGACAAGTGCGCGCATGTCTGCGCCCATCACATCGAGCCCCACGCCAGCACACACCAGCTTCTCCAGCACATGGTTTTAGGGTTGGGGTTTTGGGGTTTAAGTTCCTCACCTGGTTGGGCTGCGGGCACTGGAGAGCAAAGGCAACAAGAGCGCGCATGTCTGCGCCCATCACATCGAGCCCCACGCCAGCACACACCAGCTTCTCCAGCGCCCCCATCACCGCATTCACCATGCAATTCACCTCCCCCATCAGCCCCATCCGCTCCTCCTGCATCTCCTCCCTCCTCCACTCCCCACTCCCTGCCCCTCCCGCTTCTCCTGCCCCTCCCATCACCAGTGCTCCCACTCCTCCTGCTGCTGCTTCTCCTGCCTTCACCCTTTCTCCCTTCGCTTCTGCAGCCTGGCGGGTAGTAGGGCTCCAGCTGGCAGTGCAGAGGCGCACAGAGGAGGGCTCCCAGGTCATCCAGTAGCAGCGGCGGCAGCCGTCCAGAAGGAGCTGATGGGTTGGGGGAAAGCGGGAAGAGCAGGGGTATTGCAGTCTGTGCGACAGAGGAGGGTTCCCAGGCCATCCAGTAGCAGCGGCTGCAGCCGTCCAGAAGGAGCTGAGAGGTGGGTGAAAGGGCGGATGGGCAGGTGGGGGTGGAGAAGGGAAATGATGGGAGTGGAAGCTGCAAATGCAAGAGGAGGGCTCCCAGGTCATCCAGTAGCAGCGGCGACAGCCGTCCAGGAGAAGCTGGGAGGAGGGGGTGCGGGCCGATGGGAAGGGGAAGTCGAGGAGGTCAACGAAGAGAAGAAAAGCTGCAAACTGTAGCAGAGTTGCAAGAGAAGGGGGGCTCCCAGGCCATCCAGTAGCAGCGGCGAAAGCCGTTCAGGAGGATCTGGGGAGATCACGGCGGGCGGGTGAAATCAGTGGAAGGGGAAGTGATAAGAAGAAGCATGCAAGCGCCAGAGGAGGGCTCTCAGGTCATCCAGTAGCAACGGCGGCAGCCGTCCAGAAGGAGCTGGGAGAGCAAGGGGGGTGGTTGGTTGGGGGCTTGTCAATGAAGGCGAACATGCAGACTCAAGACGAGGGCTCCCAGGCCATCCAGTAGCAACGGCGACAGCAGTTCAGGAGGAGCTGAGAGGAGGTGGGAGAGCGAGGGGAGGTGTGGGTGTGGGTGTGGGAGGTCAATGAGGGAAAGGGAAGCTGCAAATGCAAGAGGAGGGCTCCAAGGTCATCCAGTAGCAGCGGCGGCAGCCACCCAGGAGGAGCTGAGTGGTAGAGGGCGGACGGGTGAATGGGCAAGTGGAGTGTAAAGGAGGTCACTGTAGTAAGATCGGAGAAGAATGAAAACTCAAGAGGAGGGCTCCCAGGTCATCCAGTAGCAGCGGAGGCAGCCGTTCAGGAGGAGCTGAGAAGAGGGAGGGTGTGTGTGAGGGGTGGGTGGGGGGGGATCGGGGGATGAATTGAAGCATGAAAGTTCGCCCTGTCCCTCCTTCTAAATTACCCCTTGTCTCCAACCTTCTCTTACCGAGACGACACCTACCGACTGCAGAGCCTGTAGCTCCAGAGACATCGCGTCCGGAAACCACGAAACCGCGAAACCGGGAAACCGGGAAACCGGGATACCGGGATACCGGGATACCGGGATACCGGGAAACGGGGATACGGGGAAACCGGGATACCGAGATACCGGGATACCGGGATACCGGGATACCGGGATACCCGGATACCGGGATACCGGGACACCGGGAAACCGGGAAACCGGGAAACCAGGATACCGGGATACCCGGAAACCGGGATACCGGGATACCGGGATACCGGGATACCGGGAAACCGGGATACCGGGATACCGGGAAACCGGGAAACCGGGATAACGGGATACCGGGATACCGGGAAACCGGGAAACCGGGAAACCGGGATACCGGGATACCGGGATACCGGGATACCGGGATACCGGGAAACCGGGAAACCGGGAAACCGGGAAACCGGGAAACCGGGATACCGAGATACCGGGAAACCGGGATACCGAGATACCGGGATACCGGGATAGTGGGATACCGGGATACCGGGATACCGGGATACCGGGATACGGGGATACCGGGATACGGGGATACCGGGATACCGGGATACCGGGATACCGGGAAACCAGGATACCGGGATACCGGGATACCGGGATACCGGGATACCGGGATACCGGGATTCCGGGATACCGGGATACCGGGATACCGGGAAACCGGGAAACCGGGAAACCGGGATACCGGGAAACCGGGATACCGGGATACCGGGATACCGGGATACCGGGAAACCGGGATACCGGGATACCGGGATACCGGGAAACCGGGATACCGGGATACCGGGATACCGCGATACCGCGATACCGGGATACCGGGAAACCGGGAAACCGGGATACCGGGATACCGGGAAACCGGGATACGGGGATACGGGGAAACCGGGAAACCGGGATACCGGGATACCGGGATACCAGGATACAGGGAAACCGGGATACCGGGATACCGGGATACCGGGATATCGGGATACCGGGAAACCGGGATACCGGGATACCGGGATACCGGGAAACCGGGATACCGGGATACCGGGATACCAAGATACCGGGATACCGGGATACCGGGTTACCGGGATACCGGGAAACCGGGATACCGGGATACCGGGAAACAGGGATACCGGGATACCGGGATACCGGGATACCGGGATACGGGGAAACCGGGATACCGGGATACCGGGATACCGGGATACGGGGAAACCGGGATACCGGGATACCGGGATACCGGGATACGGGGAAACCGGGATACCGGGATACCGGGATACGGGGAAACCGGGATACCGGGATACCGGGATACCGGGATACCGGGAAACCGGGATACCGGGATACCGGGATACCGGGAAACCGGGATACCGGGAAACCGGGATACCGGGATACCGGGATACCGGGATACCGGGATACCGGGATACCGGGATACCGGGATACCGGGAAACCGGGAAACCGGGATACCGGGATACCGGGATACCGGGATACCGGGATACCGGGATACCGGGATACGGGGAAACCGGGATACCGGGATAGGATACCGGGAAACCGGGATACCGGGATACCGGGATACCGGGATACCGGGATACCGGGAAACCGGGAAACCGGGAAACCGGGATACCGGGATACCGGGAAACCGGGATACCGGGATACCGGGATACCGGGATACCGGGAAACCGGGATACCGAGATACCCGGATACCGGGATACCGGGATACCGGGATACCGGGATACCGGGATACCGGGATACGGGGATACGGGGATACCGGGATACGGGGATACCGGGATACCGGGATACCAGGATACCGGGATACCGGGATACCGGGATACCGGGATACCGGGATACCGGGATACCGGGATTCCGGGATACCGGGATACCGGGATACCGGGAAACCGGGAAACCGGGAAACCGGGATACCGGGAAACCGGGAAACCGGGATACCGGGATACCGGGATACCGGGAAACCGGGATACCGGGATACCGGGATACCGGGAAACCGGGATACCGGGATACCGGGATACCGGGATACCGGGATACCGCGATACCGCGATACCGGGATACCGGGAAACCGGGAAACCGGGATACCGGGATACCGGGAAACCGGGATACGGGGATACGGGGAAACCGGGAAACCGGGATACCGGGATACCGGGATACCGGGATACAGGGAAACCGGGATACCGGGATACCGGGATACCGGGATACCGGGATACGGGGAAACCGGGAAACCGGGAAACCGGGATACCGGGATACCGGGAAACCGGGATACAGGGAAACCGGGAAACCGGGAAACCGGGATACCGGGATACCGGGATACCGGGATACCGGGATACCGGGAAACCGGGAAACCGGGAAACTGGGATACCGGGATACCGGGAAACCGGGAAACCGGGATACCGGGAAACCGGGATACCGGGATACCGGGATACCGGGAAACCGGGAAACCGGGAAACCGGGATACCGGGATTCCGGGATACCGGGATACCGGGAAACCGGGATACCGGGATACCGGGATACCGGGAAACCGGGATACCGGGATACCGGGATACCAAGATACCGGGATACCGGGATACCGGGTTACCGGGATACCGGGAAACCGGGATACCGGGATACCGGGAAACAGGGATACCGGGATACCGGGATACCGGGATACCGGGATACCGGGATACGGGGAAACCGGGATACCGGGATACCGGGATACCGGGATACGGGGAAACCGGGATACCGGGATACCGGGATACCGGGATACGGGGAAACCGGGATACCGGGATACCGGGATACGGGGAAACCGGGATACCGGGATACCGGGATACCTGGATACCGGGAAACCGGGATACCGGGATACCGGGATACCGGGATACCGGGAAACCGGGATACCGGGATACCGGGAAACCGGGATACCGGGATACCGGGATACCGGGAAACCGGGATACCGGGAAACCGGGATACCGGGATACCGGGATACCGGGATACCGGGATACCGGGATACCGGGATACCGGGATACCGGGATACCGGGAAACCGGGAAACCGGGATACCGGGATACCGGGATACCGGGATACCGGGATACCGGGATACGGGGAAACCGGGATACCGGGATAGGATACCGGGAAACCGGGATACCGGGATACCGGGATACCGGGATACCGGGATACCGGGATACCGGGATACCGGAAAACCGGGAAACCGGGAAACCGGGATACCGGGATACCGGGATACCGGGAAACCGGGATACCGGGATACCGGGATACCGGGATACCGGGATACCGGGAAACCGGGATACCGAGATACCCGGATACCGGGATACCGGGATACCGGGATACCGGGATACCGGGATACCGGGATACCGGGATACGGGGATACCGGGATACGGGGATACCGGGATACCGGGATACCGTACCGGGATACCGGGATACCGGGATACCGGGATATCGGGATACCGGGAAACCGGGATACCGGGATACCGGGATACCGGGAAACCGGGATACCGGGATACCGGGATACCAAGATACCGGGATACCGGGATACCGGGTTACCGGGATACCGGGAAACCGGGATACCGGGATACCGGGAAACAGGGATACCGGGATACCGGGATACCGGGATACGGGGAAACCGGGATACCGGGATACCGGGATACCGGGATACCGGGATACGGGGAAACCGGGATACCGGGATACCGGGATACCGGGATACCGGGATACCGGGATACCGCGATACCGCGATACCGGGATACCGGGAAACCGGGAAACCGGGATACCGGGATACCGGGAAACCGGGATACGGGGATACGGGGAAACCGGGAAACCGGGATACCGGGATACCGGGATACCAGGATACAGGGAAACCGGGATACCGGGATACCGGGATACCGGGATATCGGGATACCGGGAAACCGGGATACCGGGATACCGGGATACCGGGAAACCGGGATACCGGGATACCGGGATACCAAGATACCGGGATACCGGGATACCGGGTTACCGGGATACCGGGAAACCGGGATACCGGGATACCGGGAAACAGGGATACCGGGATACCGGGATACCGGGATACCGGGATACGGGGAAACCGGGATACCGGGATACCGGGATACCGGGATACGGGGAAACCGGGATACCGGGATACCGGGATACCGGGATACGGGGAAACCGGGATACCGGGATACCGGGATACGGGGAAACCGGGATACCGGGATACCGGGATACCGGGATACCGGGAAACCGGGATACCGGGATACCGGGATACCGGGAAACCGGGATACCGGGAAACCGGGATACCGGGATACCGGGATACCGGGATACCGGGATACCGGGATACCGGGATACCGGGAAACCGGGAAACCGGGATACCGGGATACCGGGATACCGGGATACCGGGATACCGGGATACCGGGATACGGGGAAACCGGGATACCGGGATAGGATACCGGGAAACCGGGATACCGGGATACCGGGATACCGGGATACCGGGATACCGGGAAACCGGGAAACCGGGAAACCGGGATACCGGGATACCGGGAAACCGGGATACCGGGATACCGGGATACCGGGATACCGGGAAACCGGGATACCGAGATACCCGGATACCGGGATACCGGGATACCGGGATACCGGGATACCGGGATACCGGGATACGGGGATACGGGGATACCGGGATACGGGGATACCGGGATACCGGGATACCGGGATTCCGGGATACCGGGATACCGGGATACCGGGAAACCGGGAAACCGGGAAACCGGGATACCGGGAAACCGGGAAACCGGGATACCGGGATACCGGGATACCGGGAAACCGGGATACCGGGATACCGGGATACCGGGAAACCGGGATACCGGGATACCGGGATACCGGGATACCGGGATACCGCGATACCGCGATACCGGGATACCGGGAAACCGGGAAACCGGGATACCGGGATACCGGGAAACCGGGATACGGGGATACGGGGAAACCGGGAAACCGGGATACCGGGATACCGGGATACCGGGATACAGGGAAACCGGGATACCGGGATACCGGGATA